CACCTTCTGTACCTGGGTGACTACCCTCACTCCTCCACTGTATCTATGGAAGGAGCCATGGTTATCATTCAGACGGGACTTCAAACATGTCTGCCTTTGTTAATTTTCATTACATGGGGGATAATGGGTATTAGTCATTTTGACAAATAAGATCTTTCAGCTCACAGGAAATGACATGGACACGGCCTATTTCTGTACTTGCTGAAAATGTTCTGAGCCTGAAAAAAGAAATGGTATGCAGCCACCACATCTAAGGAGTGCTATATATTACATTTAGTTCTTGAGTTTAGTTATGCTTTAAGTGTTTATGGCTAAGTTAAAAATGAATGATTTAAAAGAGAGAACGATGGCCCAACCTTTTTTGGCCATAGTTCGCTTTAGGGTCACACGAGGACAGTTACATATATGCTGATAGCGCGAAAGCCCCAGGAAAGATCTTTACAATATTGTCGAGATCCACCCCACCACCTGATTGACAGCTGTCTCTGTCTCTCTAGAGCCAGCTGTGCCCAACCCCTCCATCTCTCCAGTCAGCTCCGGAGGAACGGAGAGAGGAGGGGGAATCCCTGCAGGAAGCAGTGACTGACAGTCATTGCTCTCTGAATGGAGAAGATCGTGAACTGAGCGATTGGCGGTATGTGATCACTCAGTTCTCGATCTATAGAGTCGACATGTGACTGCTGCAGTGTCACACGTCGGCTCTAATTATGGGGATGAGTGTATTTCTTAAGGAACCACTGAATGCATCAAGGCACCAGACAACCAACACTCTAAAAGGTGTGTTGTATTTGAAGAGGCCATTGCTCTGTAAGAGAGCAAAGATTGGAGGAACAGGACAGGTGAGTATCCCTCTTCTTTTGCCGGTCATCCTTTTTGGCAATTTTGTTTTTAACTTGACAAAATAAAAACCAAACACACACACGGTACAAAGACAACCATCTTTTTTTACAATGTACATGAACTAAAGCAGGTGGTGCTCTTTGAGGCAATTGTAAAAGATTTCCTCAGAATGTAAGATGATGTTTCTGTGAACTAATCCCACGAGTGCCTTATTTATTGCTACTACATCTTAGGCCTCATTCACACACAACGCAAGAGCAAAATTGCATATTGCGTATATACGCGTCTATACGAGCGTATGTGCGTATATGCGTGCACTATTTGCATTCCCAGAATGCATCATTCCTAATAGAAACTTTCATGAACTGTACGCACATACGCTCGTATACACGCGCAAACATGCGTATGCGTGTAAAATACACTGCCCGGATGCATCTCTGTTCTATTCTGTTTTTGCGCATTTTTACGCTACGCAAATATACGGCTCCATACGCGGCTATGTGTATGGAGCCATTTATTTGCATATGTTGCATATGGTACAATACGCGTATACGCACGGTAGTGTGAATGAGGCCTTAAAGAGCTCAGAAGTGATGATGTGAATTGTGGTTTTTGGTCAGTTTTTCTATAGCAGCTTTAATGCTGTTTCCTGAGAGACCCTCTAGTGCCAGAACACTAGAAACAACCCAAAACGTTTTCTAGAAACATCAATTCCATATGGTATCTATCAACGGGTAGAGCAAAAAACTGAAACCTTGCTGAAATTAAACAGTAATTTTAGCTATATATATATATCAAAATATAATGTTAATTTTGTTTCTTTTTTTGACCTACCACTTGGCTTGAGGTGCAGTCCGGAGTAGAAAGCAGACTGCTGAGTTCAATATCTGCAACAAGTTGTCGAGATTCCACTAACAAACGCTGCAGTTTCATTGTTGGGGAGCACACATTTTGCTATGAGGAAACATGAATAATCAAAATCAGTAATATTCTTTACCACAAAGTAGTGCTAAAATTAGGATTAAATTATCAAACTTTTTTTTTTTTAATAATGATTCCAGATCAAACAAATGTGTTGCTCAGCAGGTGCATTCCAACAATAATGACGTGCGTCACAAATGCACCTCAAACATGCGCTGGAACATGAGCGCTTAAGTATTAATGGGCCCTATATGCTGTCAATTATAAGTACAAGTGTTAAAGTTATTTTATTTAAATCCAATTTAGAAATACAGTTTAACTGTATGCTTTTACTTTTATGTTCAATCTACCATGGGAAAAAAAAACAAAAACAGGAAACAGATTAATTGGACAAAACAGGCGCTTTATAACATTAACCATTCTTGAATTTATTATTCCTATTCAACCATTCCATGAACTTGTCTTAATCTAAACTATATATAATCTATATATATATATATCTACTATATATAAACAGACGTTCCTTGTTGTAGCCTTTGGGGAATGCCTTGCAGTAGTCATAGTGCTGTTAGAAATTAATAGCTGCCCATTTTGGGCTATTGGATCCAGTGCCATTTCTGCTTCAGGCATTCGCCAAAACCTGTATGACACTATAAATTACATTCTTCAAATTGGAGCTTAGTTAAACTAGACATAAATCCTAAGCACTAAAATATCACGTTAAAGTATTATTAATGTCCCCGGCTTTTTTAGCCTTCTCCCTAGTTTCACTTTCCTGTTCAGCAGGCAGTTTACCCACCATACCCATAAACCTTTATGGCACCTGAGGCAAGTGCCACTCCTCACAATTTATTTATTTTATCTTTTTTCCAAGCTACAGCTGTTGGCATTGTATTCTCTTGGCTTTGTAACCTTTAGCTGTTAATGGTGCTTAGCGTCTGCCTTAACGACTTCGTATTTGCACCATTCTTCCCCCCTGTTTGTCATTTACCTTGGAAAAAAAAAAAAAAATCCTTTGAAAATAGCACAAAAAAAACCTCACAAAAACTCACAACATTGGCATTAGCTGATCATCAGACTCTCTGTATTATTACAAATAATATTATACGGTTATGAAGCTTTCCGAGACATCAAATCACATGTGAATGGCTAGGTACATATCTTAGGCACATAAAACATCACATATTGCCAATCCAAAAAGAACAAGGATGAAGAAGTCATATTGTATAGTAGAGTAAGTCATCTGCGGATTTGATGCAGCCCAGGGAATATGTTTAAGAATAAAGCTGCTGTGTGAGGAGCAAATAGTTTCTCATTCTATCTCCCACACTGACTGCCTTTAGGCGATCCCTTAAAGTGACATTAAACCCTCAGATTTTTTAACATAAACCAATACTGTAATGTGTGCCTTACTGTAATCCATGGTTGTTTCCCTTCTCTTTGCTTCTCTTCCTTTTAAATCCTCATGTCTTCTCATGCTGGGGGAGAACTTCCCTTTTCAGCTCAGGGCCTCTTCCTGTAGTGCTGGCTCAGGTTACAAGCCTATACAAACCTATACACAGACACCGTGTATCCATTCCTGAGACAAGGCAGTCTGTGCAAAACAGAAGTTCTGCAGAGCATGAGAACAGATACAGATTTAAAATGAAGAGCAGCAAAGAGAAGGGAAACTACCATGGATTACAGTAAGGCACACATTACAGTATTGTTTTATGTTAAAAAATCTGAGGGTTTAATGTCACTTTAAGACTCATCTCTTCAAGGAAGCCTATCCCACCTCAACCTAACCTCTGAACAATCACTTTCTCAAACAATCATCCCCGCACAGCTCCCTCATCATGTATCACTTGCCCCTCCCTTTTAGATGGTAAGCCCTCACGGGCAGGGCCATCCTTACCATCTTGTCTTGAATTGTATTGCAATTGTAATGTTTTCCTTATATTGTAAAGCGCTGCGCAAACTGTTGGCGCTATATAAATCCTGTATAGTAATAATCATTTGCAATGATCAAAGATACTGGTCTGTGTTTCCTGAATGTGTAAATGATCTAACAATTGCTACACACTGTGTAAAGTTACCAGAAAGGGCATTGCAAATAGCTATTTACAGTATTTCTTTACAGAAGCACTGAGTGTTGACTAATAACAGTGGAAGATGCTCCCAGTTTCCTCCTACACCTTGTTGCAGTAATATCTGTCGGAGGGATCAAAGAGCTGGGGCCTGTTCCGCACCTCATGTGTAAGGGCCTCCAAATCCATTGAGGATCGTGTAAGAGTTATCTTTTCTATTGCCTGCAAGCTGCAGCCAAACTTTTTCAAGAGCACATGGCATAAACTCACAGTTGACTGGCCCTAATAATTTGTACAAACAATGCACCACAATGCATGATGCATATGCATCGACTTGCATGTGCCATACAATGCACTGCATCTCACCAAAAAACATGCAAGACCCTTCTTGAACAATGTTGTTGTAATTGTACAGGCATCTTGTGCTCACTTCTTCCTCCCCTATTCTTCATGCCTGTGCTATTAAAATATCTTCAAATCTACTCAAAGTGACTGGGGCCCATCATTTATATTGCAAAGCACTGCGCAAACTGTTGGCGCTATATAAATCCTGGATAATAATCTGATGACAAAAAACTTAACCCTGTGAAGGATGCTCTTAGGACATTTATTATCAAGTAAGTGGGTTTGGGACATTCAGAATGTCACTATTGGTTACAGAGAA